TATATCGTCCACAGCTTCAACCAAGCGGAGAAATCTTTTGTCTTCTATGGAGAAGCGGTGTCCCAAAATCAGAGCAGAAATTACATTGGAGACAGCATGAGTAACAGGCACAGTGGGGTCCACAGGTTTTCCTGTGAACACAGCGAGCAGTTTCACCATTAACACCAATTCTGCTTTTTCCCACTGAGCAGAAAGCTGGAGAAATACAACCATTGAGTCATTAGGGTTGGAAAAGACCTCCAAGATCACCAAGTCCAACCCCAACCCATCCCCACCGTGCCCTCAGTGCCACATCCCCACGGTTCTTGAACTCCAAATAACATTTTACCAAATCCACTTCATGCTGTTACATTATAAGATGGAAAATTGCAATTTGTCAGCAAAATATATGAGTAAAAATAACTTCAGACAGCCAAAACATTGCTGCTGATTAAATAAAACAGCGAGATGGACAGAGGAAATGGAATTTATAGTGGTAATAAGGAAAACATACCCCTTCCAGAGAGCCTTGGCATCCTGTTTGGCAGTAATTGGTAGTAAAAAAGGGTAGAGGCACGTACCTTTGGTGTTCCGCAGGTACTGAACCAGGTGACGGGCTTCCTCCTGGATTTGACACTCCTGGCTTTGTTTCCCTACTCCTAATTTCCTCATTGTTAGGAGCCCAAAGCGCCGCTGTTGCTTCCAGAGATGACCATTAGAGAACATAACTCCTAGGACCATAATGAATTAATGCTTTATGGATGAATGAATTGAAACTGTTCATGTTTCAAAGATGTTTCCCCGTCATGCTAATCTTTCTCAGTTTTTGCCAGCAGATCTGTAGCATTCCTCTTTCCCTTTCCTTCCTCCTTCCTTCCAGTCTTGCCATTTATATCCCATATAGAAACTCCTGCCACAGCTGCATTCTGCCATTGTTGTTACAAGAGAACCCAAACAGAGACGTTTCATAAAACCTCATGGAAATATTAACCTATATTCCACGTACATTAGGCACTGTTTCCAAAACCACGGTTAGAATTTATCAGAAGGCTCTGTGAAGATAATAGTTACCATTTCCATTAGTCAAAAACTTGAAGGCTCTGCTTAATGGCCTCCCAGCAACCTCTTCAGCATGGGCAGTCATCCCCTCCTTCACTGCCTGGTACCCTTGTAGAACAACTACAGGTACGCTCGTAAGCCATAAGGTGAAAATCTTGCCATACGTGCTGGCCATCTGTAGAACAAGAGTGTCACAACAACACAATGAAAACTGGCATACTAAAATCCAGCAAGGTCAGGCTGGACGGGGCCCTGATCACCTGATGGAGCTGTGGGTGTCCCTGTTCATTGCAGGGAGCTGGACAGGTTGGACTTTAAGCATCCCTTCCAACTCAAACGGTTCTATGACTCCATGATTCTACATTTAACTGGTCCCCACTGATTTGCACATTCATACAGTTGAGAATAAATCTCTTTCCAGCATTGAGAAAAAAAGAAAAACTTGCCTTCATTCTTCAGCCAGCTGATGAGTCCACCAATGTGCTGCCTGAACATACATACCTGGTTAAGGATGTCATGGTGAATTTGGAACTTCATCTGCAGCAGATTCCCAAAGAGGGGGAGTGGAGCTGGTCCAGGAGGAAGCTGTCTTCGCTTCCGTTGCATTCCCAGGAACTGCATGAGCAGAAGAGAGGCTGCCAAACATACAAGCACTACACTCACTGTTAACATTTCCCTTCTGATTTACACGGTGAGCTTGTCTCTGAAAAACTGCTACGTAAAGAGAGGGCAGATCCATTTATCTTGTTCTGCTGGTACCTCCCCAAGAAGAAAATGTGCAGACTTCTGTTCTTCCTTCTTTATCACTTTCCTTTACCTTCTGATCCCAGAGAATTACACGTTGCTTTCATGCACGTGGCATTGCTCCATTACATTACAGCCACAAATCCAGCAAGTGTTGGTCCTTCAAGGGATACCAAATGCAGCTAATTACACACTGAGACCACGTAACAAAAATCCCTGCTAAAGCTGCTGGTTTCATCAGGGACCTCTTGCAAGAGCAGAGAAAACCAACAGAGCTTTCTGGGGTGCTGCACAGGTAGGTGAGGCTGTGAGGTTGTGGTGATCAAGCAGAACAAGGAATTTCTTCAGCCACTGCCTCCAGCAGAAATAAAGAAGACATCTTCACGAGCCTCTTTCACAAGTGCCCTCCTGCAATCAAGCAGCTCCACTGGGGAGCTGTGCTTTGCTGCTCCTTCATGCAGAGGAGGCCACAAGGACAGTGCAGCTTGGTGCTGCTTCAGCATTCTCCCAGGAGCAGCGCCAGCTTAAAGTCAAGCTCACCTGGCTCCAGCTGGGGCACGTGGCACTCTGGAGGTCACCCAGATGGCTTAGCTGCACACTTGCCAACCTTATCCACTTCAGAGACAACTTGGAGTTCCTTTCTTGTAGCATTGTCATTTTCTCTGTCTCAAACGACTCCCGCCTCTAAAAGCAGCATTACCCAAAGTCTTCTCATGTGGAGGAAGTCGTGATGGAAGCAGCTGTGCTGGGAGGACACCCCAAACAGAACGGCTGTCCTTCGCCAGTTTTCTCTGCAAAGAACACAGCGTGCAATTTCCTGGGTGTTGCTGACTCTGCATTGCTCTGGCGTTTGATCAGAACTGGACTCAGGGCTCCAGGCATGGCCTCACCAGTGCTGAACAGTAGGGAAGGATCACTTACCTTGACCTGCTGGCAACACTGTGACCCCTGTGGGACTTTGCTAGTCACTGGCCCCCACCCAGACCTCACATCACTGAGCATCACCCCCTGAGCCCCGTCATTAAACCAGTTCTCTGTTCACTCCTCTGTCTGCCCATCCAACCTGTAGCTCGACAATTTATCAATGGCAATCTTATATGGGACAGCATCAGTGTCCTTACTGAGGTGCCACATTCACTGCTGTCTCCCTGTCCATCATGCTGATCGTTTCACTGCAGAGATTCATCCCATTGGCCAAGCACAACTTTCCTTTGGAAGCATTAGCCTTCATCAACAAACGAAATTGAGAAATTCAAATTGGTAAATTGAGAAATATCATAATAATACAATAAGAATACAAGCAAAGTAAAAATGCCAAACTAGTCATTATTAAAGATTATGGTGTTACTGAAAATACCAGGGTGGGTGGGTAGAACATACATAAAAAAATAGATTTGTGTGCTGACCAGCTCAAAGCTGCCTGTAAGCCTTTTTGAAATACTGAGATTAAATGTTTATGAAAGCCATTTGCTACTTGCCACTATGTACTTTCGTAAAGTTAAGACTGTTCCCTTGTGCTTCAGGTTGTCACAATTGTTTGGACATTGATTTGCACAAGTCAAGAACACGCTTAAAATTTTTGGCTTCGTTCTGTTGGTTTAGGGTGAGAAAGACTTTTGCTTCCATGCTGACCTTGCTGCATTGTTGCAATCACTTCTGTAGACAGAATCATGCTGACTGAGATCCATTTGTTCATGATTTGGGGGATGTGGTACCATCATGTTGGCAGAAAGGCTCTAGAAGAGCACACAGTTGAGGAAGATCCTGGACAGGACAGAAGCGGCAGGAAGATTTGTTATGAGCTCTCACAATGGGATCAAACTGCAGTGCTGACCTGCTTCTGCAGTAAGAATGACAGATATTACAGCCACAATTTGGGAACCACAAGTCTGGGTATCAGCGGAGAAAAGTACTGGGTATTTTAACAATGATATGAAACCTCCATAGCACTTGGGATGGAAATTAGGAACAAACTGCCTAATATATCACATGCAGCAGCTGAGAAACATGCAAGCACAAAATATTCCTTACTCAAGTTTGTTGCAAAACAGCAACCATCACAGGTTGAGGATCTATTTAAAAACACAAAGTTAAATTGCACAAATTACTGCTAAGTGAAAGGTTCCTCCAGTGCCAGCAAGCTTACTGCTTGGTCTTTATCTAGCGCATTTCCTTTTGCCCACTGGAGTTTTGACTTCCTCCTTTTCATAGAATAGTTGGGTCATCCAGTTCCAAGCCTTTGCTGCAGGCTGGTTGCTGCCCACCACATCAAGCTGCCTGAACTGACCTTGAACACCTCTGCAACTTCTCTGGGCAACCTGTGCAGAGCCTCACCACTCTCTGAGTAAACAGTTTCTTCCTAACATCCAACCTAAATCTCCCCTCTTCTGGCTTATAGCCATTAGCTCAGCTACTGGAAAGCCGTGTGCTGTGCTGAGGTCTGCTCTGAGCCTCTGTGCTCATGAAAAGAAGTTTGCCTCTTGAGAAACTACAGCAATATTCCCTGCCCTGTGTAGACACAGCAGCTGGTGCACAGCTCATTCAGAGATTCCTGGACAACTCTTTTCCTCCATGAAACCATCCTAGGGGCTCAGAGCCACCACCTTTGGGAAGCGTTTCTGTATCCCACTCTAGAATTGAGAATCAGAGGACCGTTTGAGTTGGAAGAGACCCTTACATGCCATGTGCTCCAACCCCCTGCTCTGAACAGGGACACCCACAGCTCCATCAGGTGCTCAGAGCCCCATCCAGCCTGACCTTGGGTGGCCACCACCTCTCTGGGCAACCTGTGCCAGTGCCTCATCACCCTCACTCTCATTTTTTTTTTCTTCTATCCAGTCTAAATCTCCTCTCTTTTAGTTTGAAAATATGCATGAATGCATAGAAATGCATGGGAGGCATCCCTCAGGACCTAGCTTTAACGTTTGCTTTCCCGCATTAGGATTCCTATTGAGCCTTGAAGTAAGACCAGACACTAATAATTTTCTGTGTTTATTTCATTTCTAATATATAAGAAAAAGTTTACATAGATTTTCCATATGCCAAGAAAAGGAAAACCAGAATATTTTTCAGGTCCAGCTTCCTAAAAACGTGACACAACAGTTCAGATTCACGCTGAACTTGATCTAGAAATGGGGAATACAATAGGTACAGAAAAGATCAGTACACTTGCAAACCCCTGGGAGTTCCTCTTCCCCAAATCTACCATATGCTGCAACCTAGCGAAGAACTGCACAGAGTTTATATGGGTGAGGTTTCATCGTGCTCCCAAAGACAAAGCTCAGGTTGATCTCCTTATCTCCTTCTGGTGGGGTGAACTTGAATGTCTGCAGCAGGCTGCAGAAGATGATGAAAAGCTCCATCTTGGCCATCACCTCTCCCAGGCACACACGATGACCTGCAGGGGAAGGGGAAATGCAGTCAGTCCCCGGACCAGGCTGGAACCTTACACTTTCTGGCATTACACTCCCTTTGTTTTGCTTTTCTTCCACAAGGAAAATATTACTGCTTCACACTCAGAGTCTAACTCGGTTGGTTATCAGCACACCTACCTGCTGAGAAGGCTAGGAACGCCTCTCGGATCACAAAATTCCCATCCTTGTCCAAGAAATGACCAGGGTTGAACTGGTGAGGGGTCTCCCAATACTCAGGGTCAAAAAGAGTTGAGTCTATGTTTGCCATGATGATGGTACCCTGCAAGGAAAACGCTGTAGGCTCAGTTCTGCCTCTGGATTTCTCAAACATCAAGAACAAAAGGACACAAATGAATTCCACATAGAGTCTGTGGCACTGCTGGGCACATGGTTAGAATAGAACAAGTTTTTTATCGGGAAAAAATGCTTAGTCACAAACTAAGTCCTATTTTGTTGGGGTTTTTATAGTGTTGTTTTGTGTGTTTGTTTCTTCAAAAAATAAAGAAACCTCCATATATCAGCTTCAGACATTTCCCTGCTTTATTCCCTTCATGCCTCCTTTTCCATCCTGTTAGCAAATGCAACAGAATGAAGGGTATGAGGTTATTCACCTTCTTATCCTAAATCGAGCAAAATGATTTTCCCAATTCTGACAAGCTTTGATAGATTTAGAAATGAAAAACAGTGCACCCTGCAAACCGAGCAGCACATTTTAACTCCTAATTGTCAAGGCAAAGGGAGAGCACAGAGCAGTGCTGTGCAGGAAGATGTGGCCAAAGATGACAGACAGGATACCTTCGGAACCTGATAACCCAAAAGGGTTGTATCCTTCACTGCTTGTCTAGGAATGGTGATTAAAATAATGCTGCTAAAGCGGATGATCTCATGAATCACAGCATTTGTGTAAGGCAGTTTCTTCCGATCCTCGTAGTCGATTTGGTGGGAAGAACCCAGAACAGCATCCAGCTCCTTTTGGACTTTCTCTAGGAAGGAAAAAAAAAAAACCAACACAACAACTGTATATGTAGAATTTTGCATGAAATGGCTGCCTTTTCAGTTTCAGATTATTAGCAGTAACAGAAAAAAATAAAATACGTAAATAAATTATACTTCTTATATCCTAAAATGTAAATACAACTATTTAGGTGCTACTCGACTACAATCTGATATTTCCCAAATTTTAAGTTCTGTGGTTAGATCATCAAGCTCAATAGATATATTGATCTTCATAGTTAAAGGAAGGGGAGCAAGTTAATTAAACAAGAATTTCTGAGCAATAGGTTAAACTCAAGCTTGGTTCTAGACTAGCTTGAAAGGGTGATCGTAAAGAAAATAAATAAAATAACTATGTAGAACAGACAATTGATCTTCTTGAAAGACAGAATCACAGAATCACCAAGGCTGGAAAAGGCCTCCAAGATCATCCATCCAACCATCTGCCTCTCACCAGTATTCCCCACTAAACCATGTCCCTCCGTACCACATCCACGCATCTCCATGTCCGTGTCTCTGACTCACCTTGGACGTCTGGATAAGCCACCATGTAGAGCAGTGCCCAACGTAGAGTGGTGGCGGTGGTCTCTGAGCCACCCAGGAAGAGATCAAAAACAGACTGTAACATGTTTTCTTCGTCATAGGTAGAATTTGGGACATTTTTAGTCTACGGGTGTCAATGAGAAAGGTGAAATAATAGCACAGAATCCAGCTAAATATCTACATCTTTAAAATCACCTGTTGCACACCCTGCCCTCAGGATCCCAGAGTACAAAAATAACAAGTGTACTATTTTACACTTCTGAAACAGGTTATTGGCTATTCAAGGTTTGTATTTGAATTCGATAGGGATAGCATCTGTGTCAACTCCAGCACAAATTACTCACTTTCTCCATCTGATCCAGGTAAAAGTCAATGAAATCTTTTGGTTCATCCACTCTGCATCTCTCCCTATGACTTTTGATCTCCTGCCTTATGAAAGAACGAATAAAATTACAGCAAGATTCTATTTTTCGTATGGGTCCTGGGAGGTGCCCTAAAGGCCATGGGAGAACTTCAAATATCTGTGGAGCAAGCATTCAACACAGCTGCTGTAAGTTATACAACACAAGCAAGGCCATACAGAAATACAGTGCAGACATTTTTGGTGATGAGTTACTGAGTCAGTTTCAACCTTGGATTCCTACCTTTGCTGCATAACTCAACTCATATCTGCCCTGTTAATTCATCAACAGAAGAATCCCGTTTTGCAGACAGGTCTGTTTTGCATGCATTAATGGTGATACAGTCGATATTAATATATATTACCTCAATATATAGGAAAAAAAAAACAATCTCTTTTACTCCAGTACAATGAATATCACTTTTCAACTTTCTAATAGCAGTTTCAGAAATGGAATTCAGAAATTTCAACATCCCAAGCACTTTCCTTTCCTGGGAAATTCTAATAAAAACTATTAATATAACGGTTGAACAATGCCACGTCCAAAGCACTTCAAATCCAATTCATATTCATGGTCAGTATTTTTTGTAAAATCAGCATTTAATGTGCACTAAATACTGCAATAACTCTGACAATATATAATGATATAATTATTATGGCGTGAAAATTGTCTAATTACTATTACCCCATAGCGCAATAAATATCGTGTTCAATAGTTAAATAATTTGCATGTTAAATGAGCCATTTTCTCACATAGTAAACGTAGCTGTTCCCAAAAGCCACAATCTCATTGTATGCTTCCATCAGCTGGCGGAAAGTCTCATCCTGCAGGGAGAAACGATGCCCAAACACCACAGCACAGATCACATTGGAGACCACGTGAACGATGGGGAAGGAAGGGTTAACAGCTCTTCCTGCAAACACAGAGAAGCGTTGGTCACAAAAACACCAGCTGCTTTGCTATTCTGAAAGCAAGCTCACAATGAGGTTTTGTCACAGATATCCCCGGTGCTATTTATTTCTGGAGCAAAAATAACCTTTCCCCTCCGTGTTACACAAACTACACGCCGTGTCAAAACCACGACCGCGCTCCCGACCACCTCGGTGCCGTACCATCTGTGCTCCTGAAGAACTCCACCAGGTGCCGGGCCTCGGTTTGTATCCCACGTTCCATCCCTTTATTCCCCATTCCCAGTTTCCGGAGAGTCGCAATTCCAAAACGTCTCTGATCTTTCCAGATGAGACCATTTGAAACCAGGATACCTTCAGCCATCAAGAACCAATTGGATGCCATGTTAGTATTCATGTAACGTTGATACTTGCTTGCAAGCTATGTTTGCCAACATAGTCTTGTCTCCCTACAGATGTTGTGTCACCACTGCAGGAGTGGCAGAGAGCTTTCCTCAGCCGACAGTACGTTCAGTTTTCTACCACCTGGAAATACGATGGTCCCTCGCACTAAGCTGCTCAAAGCCTGGAGACCTTTCTGAGGAGCCCATTGGAGAGGTCTGCAGGTTTCCTGTTCTCGTTCTCCTATGCTTGCACGGATACGAGGCTGGTGGAAACCAGTTTAGCCACTCCTGTTTCAAATACAGAACTCTATCCTCTGTCCACCAAAATTCATCAGCGCCTGATGTAAACAATAGCACAATAAAAACTTCTAAACAAGGACACATTGCACCTGCAGTCTCACTAATGCATGTAAAACCCCAGTGCTGTGGGACATCCCCAAGGGCCACTTCTTGTTCAACAGCTCAGTGCATGCTTTCTCCATTGCAGCCATTGTGTAAACAAGCAACTGAGAGCTTCAAAAATTACTTCAGCCTCTGCTCCTCAAGCTCCAGATGAAGGATTGAAAGGCATCAGATGGATTATTTCAAAGCAAGGCACGAACTTAGACACCAATAATGGATAAATTAGATTAGCAAGTACAAACACTGCTGCTTTGGTAAGATTCTGGAACACACGTGTGATAGTGGGATGGAGGAGACAACTGAGGAATGCTGCAGAATTGCTTTATTTTGTTTCTCATGAGCAAATGGAAAGGGTAAACAGGGAACTAAGAGCTTGTCAGCAGACAAAGTCCTTCAGCAGATGTATGCATCTCACCTTTTCCAGAAGAAAATCTGTTAAACAAGTGGGTCTGTAGCCGCCCAGAAACATCCTCTGAGTTGGTGGTGAGACCATCTTTCACCGCTTTGAAGCCATACAGCACCACGACAGGTTTGTGGCCCAGCCACAGGGTACAGATGTTCCCATAGGTTTTTGCTAGCTGCACATTAGTTGATGCAAAACAAAACAAACAAACCAAAAAACTATTGGAGAAACATCAACCAAACTGCACACACAATGGGGTCTTCTCTTCCCACTTGATGCTACCCTGGGGTTCAGGGAATGAAGAGGGGAAAATGCTTTTGTTCTGTGATGGGAACATTCATGAGAGTAAAGCTGTGGCACTGCCCTGGGATCCCACTATTCACAGCTATGTGAACGGTCAAAAGAACAGCTGCTCTTGCTCTTTTTAACACATAGGGTTGTCTTTGGGATAATAGTGACTGTGGAAATGCTCCTGGCTGGGTATTTACAGCTCACATTAGGTTTCATATGAAAGTTCAGCTGTCCGATGTCAGTTACATTTTTCAACTCATTTCATTTCCTCATCCAAAAAAACTAGAACTACTCAAAATTACACATTTACATACAGAACGTTGGAAAAACAGGTTCAAACATGCTGAAATCCTCCATTTGTCTTTAACCTGAAGACATCATATCCCAACATTCATTTATATCAGGAGCCTGTAGATTTTATTTGACTCCTTTAGGCACTACATTTAACTTCCATGACCCTCTTTCCTCCACTTGAAGTTCTCATAACCAATTACCAGCCTATCGACAGCCATCATCGTTGGTTACAGCTTTTGCTCCTTCTCTCCCATCCACAAACACGTACCTTTTTCAGGCTCCCATGGTCAGCTCTAAAATTTACCCACCACATGCTTCCAATGATGGGAAACGGGATCGGGCCAGGAGGAAACCGGCGACTTCTCCATTGCAGTCTCAGGAACTGCAAACCCAGCAGAAACAAAACCAGGGATAATAGCATCACAGTCACCATGTCACACCTCCAAACTGGTCTGTCACCGAGAAAGCTGTTATTAATCTGTTAAACTGACTCTGTTGTTCTACTTAACACTTCCAAAGAGAATCAATTGTGTCACATTCAAACCTTCTTCCCTACCACATTTCTCCAACAAGAGTGTTTCCACCTCTGAGCATACTTAATACATTGCCATGCTGCAATATGCTAATAGCTGCCATCACATTGACATCCAACCAATGCCAGAAGGCGGGCACTTCATTCTGACTTGCATCTGATATTCAGAAACGTCCCATTGAGCAATTGGTTTGGTTGGAGGTGTCACTCACAGCACTGGCTACGTGCAAGCTGAGAGCTGGGATACTAAACTGGAGATTTTGGCGTGCCTGCCTGTGTGCAGTTTGTTGCTTTTGTTTGTTTTTCCATATTTGTGCATGTTTTTAAAAGAAAAAAAAAAAGACATTTAGTTGTTGAGAGCTTATAGATTTCCCTGCTGTCAAATGTCAACTAGTTCTGAAAATATCTGTGCTCAGTTTCTCAGTACAAAGCCTCTGCGACATCCACGTGCACATCTTCCAAACACACAACTTTCTCTTCCACCGTCCTCCTCAAGTCCTTCTGACAGGTGAAAACATTCTGTTTCCCAGAATAAATCTGTATCGTGAGTGAGTGCACTGGGGATGGGTTGATGGTTGGACCAGATGATCTTGGAGGTCTTTTCCAACCTTAACGATTCTAAGATTCTAATCCTGCTTGAAAAAGGTACTCTGTCACAGAACCACCAAGAGACCTCTCAGATCACTCAGTCCATCCGTCCACGTACTACTGCTGTTTCCCCACTACGTCCCTTAGTGCAAAATCTAAACGTCCCTTGAATGCCTGCATGGACAGTGACTCCACCACCTCCTTGGGCATCCTGTGCCAGTGCATCACCACTCTTTCAGAGAAGAACTTCCATCCGCGTCCGTTCATCCTGATCTGCATCAGATTTCTCACCTGTCCTACAATTCTGATGTTTACAGTGGCGTTACTCATTGACAAATGAATTGTCTCGCAACACAAACATAGAACTTTCAAGGTCTCTTGATCACTCTGAGGTTTATATGCCAGCTGCTTCTGATCGTGAAAAGGAGGACTGATCCCAGAGGAAGAGCTAAAAAAGAAACAGGAACAGAGTGTGACTTCTTGTCAGAAAGCCACTGGTGCCTCACAAGCCCACACTGCCTCTGGGAGAAAAATAAAACATAAAAAGAGACAGCTGATTGCTACTGGTTCAGTATATCACAAAAACATACATTTTGTTACAAATCCATTCAGAAAATGTTTAATACACGTCTTGTCTGAAATCACTCCCAGCTTTCTATCAAATAGCTTCTTGTTCTGTTCAGGTTTCCCCTTCTGTAAACACAGCTATGGCTTTGCATACTTCGGCCCCATAGTTCAGTTCATGGAAATTTCATAGGCATTTCCTACACCTGTGCTTTCAGGTGGTTACTTCCCCATGTTTCTGTCCAGATATAGACGGAAAACATAGGATCATTGAGGTTGGAAAGGACACTAAGATCATGGTGTCCAACCATTAACCCATCACCATCAACCATCATGTCACTGTGACGTGAGTGAGCTGGTTAAGGGCTTTTATTTGGTTGGTTGTTGTAACTGAAGGATTCATGGTCACTCCTTCCTATAAACCCAAGCAGAGAGGAATTAGACAACTGAATTACTTCTTCTCAGTACACTGCCAGCGTCAGCCCTTAGGTCAATCAGGACATGAGACAAACAGCCAGCGTCATGAAAATTAGTTCTCAGGATTAAAAAAGTTTTAAAGCAAAACTTTCACCTTTAAAAAAGATGAGCATTTTCTAATGACTCTGAAATATTGATTCATGTTTCAGTTTGTAATCTGCTACAAAACCCAGATCCTCACCTGCTTACTCCCACTCCGTCTTCACCATGCAAGGAAGAATAACACACAGTTACATCATGCCCTACCTTAGCAAGCAACAGGTGAATTTTTCAGGTTATTTGCCCAAATGATAAGAGAAACTGATGGGAAAAGAACGAAAAAAAAGCTAAGAACTGGGAGACAACAGTGGAAATCAGCTGGATGCAAGAAGAGTCGTGGCGATATGTCCCCATCCAACTGCTGTCTGCTAAGCAAACACTCATGTGGTGCCTCAAGGACGGCAGTAAGCATTAAGTAGCAGGTTGACCATTGCTTGCTGCTGTGTTGGGTAACAGGCAGTTGCTTTGTGCATTTCAACTGCGTATATTCTGCTGGCAGAGCTGATGTGAAAGGTACTCTGCACAGAGGTGATGCAGTCAGGGTAGGCTGCAAGTAGTCACACAGAAGGGGAAAGAAAAAAAAATTAAGATATTCAATTTGTTTCATTTTACGAGGTTTGAACAGGATATTTGCAAGACAACTGTTCCAAATAATTGTAATCTTTCTGTATTTTTTGTCCACATTGAGGCTTCTCGTTCGGTAGGTTTCTATGCTGCAGCTTCTTCAGAATTTCTGCAGCTACTGCTGACCACACACTGCGCTCAGTGACACACAGAAGAAAGGTGGGAGAAAAAACATTCAGCACAAAGCATGTCCTAAGATAAAAATAAAAACAAATAATAGCACATCTTTGGGCCTTTCCTTTCAGTCACTCCTAATTGAGCTCACAGAATCACAGAACGGCCAGGGTTGGAAGGGAGCTCAAGGATCATGAATCTCCAACCCCCTGCTGCACGCAGGGCCTCCAACCTCCACATTTCATACCCCTGCATAAAAATCCATCTGCCTCCTGGTTTCTCTGGGTGTTGCCACGCTGTTGAAAAATAGATTCTACCTTTCTCAATCCTGAGCAATCCAAAACCCTTCAGTGTTTCAGTCCATGTTCCTTTCTGAATGAGAACGGCATCAAGTGTATTTATGTTCTTCCCAGTCCCAAAAGCTAAATGTGCAACAGCTGAGCATTTCTCAGCTACCATGGTAGAACTCAGAGTTCTTCTCAGGAAGAAACAGAATGTTAATACCCCTTTCAGCTTTCTCTTATCTGAAACATTCTGTTCTGACCGTGACCATTAGCATTCCAAGTCCAATATTTAGGCTACTAAATACTTCAAAAATGCTGAAGCAAATACTCAAACACTAGGAAATGCCAAAATGAACACCGTCTGCACAACAGGGATTGCTTCTTAGTGATGCCTTACTGCGAGCAGTACTAGATGTACTGTGGCTGAACCTAAGGCACTCAGCATCTCTTCCATCCCATTAAATAAGTCAACGTGCATCAGAGGACCAAGAAAGCAATAACACAACGGTGGGACCGAGCAGGTAGAGGAGGACGTCACAGGGAGGACTTTGGAAAGAGGTCATTCTGGGGGCAATCCATTTGCATTGCTCCGTGTCTCCATTCTGTGTGAGCAGCACCTCCCTGCACAAGCCCTGCACACACTGCTGGGCCAGGCAATCCCTGCACGGCCCAGAGCCTCACACTGCTTTCCAACACACACTAAATCCACCTTTGCAACCCGCAACTCAACATCTAAGCCCTGGTATTATAATGCTTATAATAATTATATAACTATTATTCTATATAATTATTATAACAATTAACAACACTGTCCCAACAGAAATAGATAAGATGGGAGATGCTTTTCAGCTGTGGAGATTCTGGGCACTTTTAAGGCAATCTACTTCAGAGAAAGTCAGTGAATAGCAACTAAGAAAAGAAAGGCAGTTAAGACTTCAGTTTAGCCTTCTGTTGCTTGAATTCAATTGTTTTTCTGCTCAGAGACTGTATCCTGTTGTGCACACATTTCCACTTCTATAAAAGAAACCGCATAAAAATTGCAGTGTTTCAGAAAGGTAATAAGTAACACATTCTCTGCATTTGACTACAAGAAACTTCAGGAGGTGTTACCGTTATGCAAGACATTTGGTATTCTTGGATAACTGCTCAACAATGACTGCAAAGCCCAATATCAACACACACAAAAAAAGAAAGAAAATTCTAGTTGTGTCAAAAAATTGTGACAGATCACAATTACAGATCATAAAAGAGAGTAGGTGTGGCTTGGCTAGCGAGGGATCACATATTTCCAAGTTTTCTGAAGACTTCAGCCTAGGCAAACTGTAGATCGAGAGGGAGGGACAGACAGATGGTCAAAGGAGGCATAAGTTCCTTAGAGAGAGCTGGATTTCAGTAGAAGCACTCGTTCATCTGCACAGCACCAGGATTTGCAGAGGAAGCCACACACAAGAGCAGCGAGCAGAGATTTCCATCATGTTGGGGATCGCTGAGCTGTTTGTAGCCCTGGTAGCCTCCCTCCTGATCTTGCAGTTCCTGAAGCTGCAGTGGATGCGCAGCCAGCTCCCTCCAGGACCAGTTCCTCTCCCCATCATTGGGAACTTGTGGCTGCTGGACTTCAAACTTCGCCGAGAAACTCTCGCTAAGGTATTTCGTTCTGTCTTATCTCTTGCACGTGGTTCAGTGGGGAAATAGTGGTGGCAGGTGGGCAGCTGGACTGAACAATCTTGGAGATCTTTTCCAACGATTCTGTGATCTGCAGCTGAAAATCTGTCTGAATCTATTTTAACTTACATTTAAATATCAATAAGCATCATGTTTCATTACAGGATTTGTTTTCTGTCTTTGCACTGGTAACTCTCACCTTGTAAACCATCTTTAGTTGAATTTCCTTTGGCTGACACTAATGTTGCTGGAACACCTGCAGGCCACGATGGTCCATCTCCATTAGCAGATCAAACATACACTCTAAATGGACCCTTCTTTTCATATTTGTATAACCAAAAGTCAGCAAGGCTAAAATGAAGCAGGGAAAGAACAAATTCTTGTTCTGCTCATAGCACAAGTTCTTAATAAGCCAATTAAAACTCAAGATTTGCATCAGATTAAGGAAAAATGCAAGCATTATCTGAGGAAAGACAATAGAAGCAAATATGAACAATAGTGGGAAAGCAACAGGAAAGAATGTAAAAGCATTTATCTTCTTTTTTTTGA